CCTTTTTTATTTTGTGGGATTGGATTTTGTTTATAAGTTAAAATACACATAGCTTTGTGGAAATGATGAAACAAGTGCCATTGAAAAATTAGCTCTTCAAGACTCAAACACCTTAGTTATCAAAATCTGAAGCTGAACAAATTTTGGCTTACCGGTAACTCTCAAAATCATACCTTTTTAAACAGCATCACGTATCTGTCAACTTCATCTTCACCAAAAGAGAATGTGGTAAGACCAGCAATTTCTGCCACATCATGTCTGAAAACAGGAAAATAAAAAATTGAAAGATCTCACTGATTCATATCACAGGACTATTAATTAATACTCATTTTTAAAGTAAAGTAATTGTGTAAACAAAGTTAGAATTAGAATGTCATCATAAGTACTTACACAATACTTCTTTGTACTCTTGACATTGGCGGAAACTTCAGTCTTGTTTCTTTTAAATCTTTAATGAATTCAGTGACTTCTTTCTCAGTCTGAAGATTCAAAGAGTATGGTTCAAAGAAAGTCTGGACTAGTGAAAAATCTGTCAAGTGTTACCCATTGTAAAGGGTCTGTGAGTATCTTCACAGATCTTCTTGAGGATTTTAATCAAGATCCTCAATGATGTTTGCCAAGATGAAAGATTTTTACAATTCTTGCCAGGATCAGATAGAAAAAATACCAAAATAAATGAAAATTGACCCAAACCTTTGCTAATAGAGAAAGTTGATCCATGAATAGAAAGGGTATATTCTTGCTTCACAAAAAGATACCTCAACAAAAGGATCAGTTTCACTATGTTTTGTTTCCATACAGAACATTAATTTAATTTGTAAAAGACTTTGTAACTTGGCCTAAACACCATTTGAACAATCGTTTCCGTAAAAATGTTTTTGTTCTTTCTGAAGTTCATTTGTAAGGTCATCAAACAAACAATTAAATCATTTATTTTTTCTCTTACTCTGAAGATCCTTAAAGGAACTTCAAGGTTCTGCAAAGATTTGCTCAAAGGTCAAGCCAAGATCTTTAAAGATCACTTAAGGATGTTTCCAGATCATTAAAAAACCTTTTAAGAATTCTCAAACGAACCCTCTTGGCGACATCATATAAGATCACTGGCAATTAGGTCATGATGTCCAAACATCCAATATGATTAGATGGGCCATCTTGGGTTTTTTGTTCTTCCCAAAATGTCAGCTAACCACCACAAATGACTCAAAGGTAATTTAAATCAATAACACGATACAAAAAGTCCTAAAGGTGTAAATATAATCATGATATCTTTTTGATGTAAGACAAGAAAATTCCAGATTTGAAAAACAGTCCCGTCAAAATATGGTTTTCATGGAAACATCAAATCCCAAGTAAACTTATGAGATTCAGAATAATAGGACTGCACATGAGGGGAAGAAAAAAAAAAACTATAATAAAGTGTATTATCGTTTGTCTCACGATGTAGTCACTTGAGATGTAGATTGTGACGTTTCAACTGCTTACTGCTAGTCTTCTTCAGGCGATAAGGTCGACTGATTGCACGGTATCATTTATATCACAAAGGACAGCTGTGATTGGTGCATTTCGATCCTCCTATTGTTCCATTGTTCCGGCGAGTAGCTGTTCC